AATGTGAAATGAATTTGATGCATATTTATTAATCTCTTTTTTGTTTATTAAACTTATTTGATTCCTTCTTCCAGAATTCGAAATTTAGGCTTAATCCAAATATAATTCGCACATTTTTTATGAATTTGTTTTTAAAATTTGTATTTTTAAATATTCTTTATACATTTTTCGAAAAAAATTTTGTGTTCTAAACTATAAAATTTTTAACATCGTCTTAAAGTAGATGTATTTCTAGGCAAACCTGCAAAAAATTAGTTTTTTATTCACTATGTTTTAAGATATTGTTGCGTTATTTTCTTCCTTCATGTTCGAACGGGGCTCGTGGGGATTTGGAGTGAATAACGACAACACTTGATGAAGTATCGAAACACACTTTATTTAGCCAATATTTATCAAAACAGCTCCAAAACACTTTTACAGTCGTCGAAGATCTACTATAAACAGGCTGGAACAATCAGCGACACAGCCTTCCCACTGTCAGGCAATAACGGTGGAGACAGCTTCACTGCAAAGCACCAGAGTGCAGCTTCCGACTCTGCTCGGTCGTTCTCGGAACTCCACGTTTTCTCGAGACTCTCCAGCTACAACTCGCGATGCACTCGACGACACACATAACACAGCTCCCGACTCTTCGGTTCAGTCGTTCCCGAAGCTTAACACACTCTCTCGACGATGCACTAACCGCGATACACTAAGAGACTCTTCGATGTACTTGACGACCCACTCGGCACTCGCTGGCCAGTTGTCAACTCGATCGTCTCCGCACGAATTAACTAGATGAGACACACTCGCACTCTAGACGAGGCACACACACTAACTGAATACTGACGCGACACACTATCTCGCACTCTGACTCTCCGCTACCAGCAGGGTTTATATAGTAGCTTTCGGCTTGTGTTCGAGAACATTCTGGGCTAAACCGGTAAGAATTCGTTCCAAAAGGTTCTCCATCCGTCCATGGCATATCGCCAATGTTTGTCGTCAAATGGGCGATTTCTCGCCAAATGTGGCAATTCTGCCTTCCCTTGTCATTTTATGGCAACCCTGCTTTGCGGTAAGCTATCTCACCGCGCCTGTACATTTCGTAACAATATAAATGAATTTACATATTGGTGCGTTTTGAATTTTGGCATCTTTTATTTTTGAGCGATAATAACCCCAAATGTGGTTTACGCACTTTGTTAAAATTATTTGAAAGTATGAAAGATGACTTTTTTTCCGCTTGTCTGCAATGAAAAAAAAGAAAAGGAAAATAGGTTACTATAAATTAAGAAGTTTGCAAAGTAAATTATTCTTGCCGAAAGTTGGAAAAAATACAGCAAGATAAATTTTTGAATTTCTCCGTAAATTTCACTCCAAATTTTACAAAATTTAATATTTAGGCATAATTTGAGTCGTTGAATCGAAATATAGAAAAACATTGGCATGTCAATTCAGAAAAAGTCCGATTTTGTGTCAAATTACTTATTAACTAGAACAGCACTACATATAAATCTCATACATATCCTAAGTTCCTCTTTCGAGACATGAAAAACGCAATTTGAATTTCGTCAGTTGGCCCAGTAGAACGGGAAATTTAGAACTGTCCCTTTTTTTTTTTTTGCCATGTACATGACCTTATCGGTGCGTGGGGCATATTTTCTTAATTGAAAATTTTTCTGTACGAGAGTCATATAAAAATATGAATTTAGTATTTCTTTAAATTTATTTTCCAGAAAATTTTAATTGATTTCATAAAATTCTGTAACTATTTTTACGTAACCTTGTAATTTATGTTATATGTCTACGATCATATTTAAAGAATAAAAGCCGAGATCAGTATTTTTGGGACACCCTCTATACCCATTTAGGTACATACATATAAAGAAAAATGTCTGTGTGTTTTGTGTTTGTTTTTTCGCAATTAATTCAGTCACTACTATAGCTATCGTCATCAAGCTTTCTATAAATCTTTTCTGGGCCCTGAGAAAGTTCGTGAAGAAATAAATGAGTCTAAACAGATTGTGACATCAATGAACATTTTTAATGAGAGAGATTAACTTAAACATAGTTTCGTACAGCAGAGAAAGGCAAAGTAAGAAAAGTATACACATACACACATACGTAATAAACAGTTTCGTCATCACCGCGCGGATAAACTCGAAAGGCGCATACGTCAGAAGAAGCGCTCTTAAGCTAAACGTCGTATTATAATTTATGATACAACAGGTTAATATTCCATAAAAGGGTGAGCGCCAAACTTGGCGAGAGTTTTTTATTTGGAGCGGTTTTGATTTGGTTGTGGTTTCCGGCTGTATGTTTTCTTGTGGCAAACCTAGAGCTTTATTTGGGTAATTGTGAGTGTGCGAATTTAGTGTAGCCAGATTTTTTTTTAAATTTAATTTTGAAATACTGTGTTTTTAAAAAAATTTGCTGTTTGATATTATTATTATTATTATTATATATACAGAGAGAGAGAGAGATACATGTTTAATCTTATATTTATATAAATATTTGCAGAAGGTTAAGCTGTTGTTGATGGGAGAATGTTGGATTTCAGATGACGTAAAGTTATGAATATTTTCATTTAATTTTATTTATTTAATTTTTATTTTAAAAGTTTTGTTTCTTGCATGAGGCAATCGAAAGATGAAGAGTATTTAAAAGTTTTTAAGTACTGAACAAAAGTTGTTTAGTGTGTTGAATTCCACGACGTTGTTTTATCATTTAATCAATTTCATTTACTATTATGTTTGCACATAATAATCGCTGCTCACCACTGTAAACAAAAATTTGCTATTCTGTTTACGTTTAAAACTCACTTCGAAGTGCTCTGATCTAATAAACGTATATATTTATTCACTCAATAATTATTTACAAGAATTGTTCATTCTACTATTTTACGATGAATTACATAGATAGGACTATTTTTTTTCATTGCAGCCAAAAAAATTCGACAAATTTTGAAGTCCAAAATAGTTTGGCACCAGCTTACCCCGCTTATCGAATATTAGCCATGCAACAATCCCCCTTTCGACGTTTGGCGGCTCAAAAAAATAAACATTAATCATTTACAGTTATTCCAATTAATTTACAGCACTTAGAATGTTTCGAAGCAGTCAATGTTTTTGTCAGTACATCAGCAGGCATTTTTTCTGTTGACACATATTTAACATCTATTTCATTTCTTTCATAAATTTCACGTATGAAATTATGTCTTATATCTGTTTAGTACGTGAGTGGTAAACAGAGGTTTTCATAAGCTTCTGTGCACCTTGATTATTACAATATGTAATGGCTGGATAATCAGCATTAAAATTTAATTTTTTTAAGAAAACGAAGTAAATAAACTGCTTCTTTAGTCTTTCTGAAAGACTGATGTACTCTGCTTCAGTACTTGATAATGCAACAGTTTGTTGCTTTCGTGATTCCCATGTTATTGGATTCGCAGCAAGCATGAATAAGTTGACCTGTATAGGATTTTCTATTATTAACATCAGACACCCAGTCGGCATCAGCATATCCAATAAGTACTTTTCCAGTCTTTCTAAATTTTAAACAATAATTTTTAGTTCCTTTTAAGTATCGAAGATTGCGCTTTGCAGCCAACCGACGCCGATAAGATACATTGTTCATTTCTTCCTTTTCAGTTTCAAAAGAACACATTTCTTTACTTAATTTTACACTAGGATCTAAAGAAGTTGCTACTGGTTTTGCATCTTGCATATTAAACCTTCGTAGAATGTTATCCACATATTTCTGCTGAGATAATCTAATAGAATTATTATTTACATTTTGATTAAATTCCATTCGAAGTCAATAATGAAGTTTGCTTAACCCCTTCGCGCCGATTGTCACGTATACGTGCCAGCAACGAACGCACTTATCTACCGGCCGACACGCAGGCGTGCCAGAGCAATGTTGCGTTTTCTACCGAATGTCACGTATTTGTGCCAGTACCTTGGAACGTTTTTCAAACTATAATTTCTGACACAAGATGGCACTGTATGCCCATATGGTTTCAAATACATGTACATTAGAGCTTCTACTCGAAATGAGAGAAGCATGACTCACATACACGTGTTTTTGATTATATAAACAAACGGGGAACTAAATGTTTCCAAATGGCGTGATTTATGACGTCTCTATAAATCGCACTTTATTCGCACGTGGTAGTTGTTTATTGTAAGTAGAAGTTTTATATGCGCTAAAGCGTTGAGTATTTCGGTTTACAGTTCAGTTTTTAGAAAATAATTAGATCTTGTTAGACGTGAATTCTTTCTATTTTTACCGTTTCAATGTCGAAGCGTCGAAAATGTTTAACAGAGCATGAAATAGCACAAATGATGCAAAATATTTCAGATATTGATTCTGAAATTCTGATGTTCTGATACTGATTCTGAAAGATTAACTGAAAGACATTTTCCAAAACTTTGTTCAGAAGAGACTGATAAGAAAATGAGACGACGATGCTTCGTTTGTTTACATTCCCGGAAAAATCCTCCAAAACGGCAAATGAGTTATTACGAGTTCAAGGAATGTAACGTAGGACTGTGTGTAGATCCCTGTTTTAAAATTTTTCATACGAAAAGAGAATTTTAAGTAATATATTAGTTTTTCAGATGTATAATGTTAAAAGTCATAAAATGGTGAGTAATTAAAATAAAATGTGTAAAATATGCATTTAGACAAGAAATAAGGTAATTAAAGTATATAAATAAAATATCTATAAAGCATAAGCCGTTTAAATACTCTATAGAGCATTATTAAACAATGCGTTGATACTTCGGAAATTTCATGGATTTAAGCTTAGTAGCAAAAAAGCTCCCGGCCATGGAGAGACGCTCGCGGAAGACACTGCCGGCCTCCGCGATAAGCGCGCGTTTTCGCTACCCGGCTCGAAGGGGTTAAATCTTTAACATGGAATTCTTTAGAAAGATAAACTTTAAGTTCAGCATATAAATCACAGCTATTTGTTGCTATCATTAAGTCATCCACATATAAAATTAGAATTAACTCACCTTGAGATGTTTTCCTCCTGTAAACATACTTATCTGATTGTAATGGTAGTAATCCGAAGATTTTGGGTTTTTCGTCTAATTTTTGATACCACTGCCGTGCACTTTGTTTCAAACCATAAAGAGACTTTTGCAAGGCATAAAGGTAATCAGGATTATTTTGGTCTTCGAAATCTTTAGCTTGTTCCATGAAAATTTCTGTTTTTAAATCTCCGTTAACATAAGCCATAACAAAATCTAGGTGATATAAAATAAGGTCTTGTTCACCACTGTATCCAATCTCAGTTCTTATAGAGCTTGCTCTGGCTACTGCAGCAAAGGTTTCATTGAAATAAATTCCAGGTTCCTGTGCAAATCCTCTAGCAACCAATCGATCTTTTCTGTTTTTAACTGTTCCATCTGCATTATATTTCGTTCTAAAAACCCAGCGACATCCTATTACCTTTTTGTTCTGTGGTCGCTTTACTAATTTCCATGCACCATTTTTAACAAGTTCTTCGTACTCATTTTGTATAGCCTTATGCCATTCTTCAGCATAACTTCCATTTAATGCTTCTTCTAATGTCGGATTTGTATGTTTATATTGCGGAACTCCTTTTTTGGTCTTCCTGGTTTCCCAGGCTTGATTTTCTTTGGACGACTTGGCCCCCAATTAATCTGCATTTCAGGTATTGCTTCGGAATCAGAATCTTTATTATCAGATTATTCAGCAGATGCTTTTGTCATATTTGAGGGGTCTTCTGTTATTTCATCAGCCGACATTTGCTTTACATTCAAAGGTTCTTCCTTATTTTTATCAGGAATATTTTCGAGAAATAAAACTTCTAAACTCTGAACGCATGAATCCCACTTAACTGAAATGGTCAGATGTTTGTTGCTATAAGGTAATCATCCCCAATCGTTTTGGGCTGAATCCTTGAATTGTACTGTTCACATTCGTAATCGTTGTCCGAATCGAAGCCCGGGAGTAAAAAACACCATATGAGATATTTTTTGGCATCAAGCCAATGGTATCTCACTTCAAAGTATTCGGACAGAAATGTTTCGTGCTTAATAAAAGGTCTAAAGGGAAATTCGATCCTCGATCAAAAGAACATATCTTTGTAGGATGCTCAAGTGAATCGAAAGTATGCAGGCTGTGGAACAAAAATTCCACAAATAAGTTATAAGGCCGAGATGTTAGATTCACTCGGCCTTATAACTGTTTTTCTGGAATTTTTATTCCACAGCCTGTACGCTTTCGATTCATTTGAGTATCCTACAAAGATATTTTTTTCTGATCGAGGATCGAATTTCCCTTTAGACCTTTTATTAAGTACAACACATTTCTGTCCGAATACTTTGAAGTGAGATACCGTTGGCTTGATGCCAAAAAATAACTCATATGGTGTTTTTTCCAGGTTTCGATTCGGACAACGAATATGAATAGTATAAACAGCACAATTCAAGGATTCAGCGATATTCGAGACCGTTATCAGTCCGAAGGTTTTTATTTTCTTTCCTAGACGATTTTCAGCTGCAGCTTTGTATTTAATGAATGCACTTTTCACTTCGTCTTTAGTTTTATTCTTGTTCAAATATCGTTTCGCTTTCGACATTTTCTAAACAAAAGCTGTTTTAACAAGATAGCCTTCTTCGCAGGTCCTTTCGATTCATATATGGCTTTGAGTTTATTCCACAGCATTTGATGTCCCACAATGCTTTATATGACACAATTCACTAAGATTAAGCGCGAGCTTTTTGATTAGCTTGGAGCTATTTCTTTTCGTCTTCGCTTCCTTCAGCAGGTTTTAGCTCTTTACCGGTCACATAATCCCAATGGTCGTTTTTAATCAATACAGCGTCTATTTGTAACCATTTTGTTCCAGCTGTCAAAGTTATCTTTTCTGAGTTTTTCTATAGTAGTCAAATGCGACATAATGTAATAGTCTCTCCCAGCCAAAAACAATTTTGAGCGATATAAAAATAGAACGCTGATCAGTTCTTACCATTGATTAGGCTTAACAGTTCTTGCACTGGATTAGGCTTAAGAGTTCAATGCTCGAAAACTTAAAATGTTCATTATAAAAGAAGTATCTTGCTACTTAAGCATAGTTGAAACGTTCCTGGTCCCATAACCATTTAAGAAATAAATGAGCCTAAACAGATTGTAACATCAATGAACATTTTTAATGAGATTGCAATGAATGAGACTTAAACATAGTTTCCTACAGCAGAGAAAGGCGAAGAAGTAAGAAAAGTATACTCATACATACGGTAATAAACAGTTACGTCGTCACCGTTCGGATAAACGCGAACGGCGCATGCGTTAGGAAAAGCGCTTTTAAGCTAAACGACGTATTATAATTTATGATACAACAGTTCGACGTCCACTTTTTCCCAAAAAATAAAAAAATAAAATATAAAAAAAAAATAAATAAAATAAAATAAAATCAGCGATATTAATTAAAAACTCTGAAAACGTTTCACCCTGACTTTTCGAGTGGCAACAGTCTCGCACACTGGAGATCAAAATCTGCTTTGTTTATAGAAGTGTTGCTACTGCTCGTTTTGAAATCGTAGAGTTTGTTAATAAAAAATTTCTAAGCTTTACAATGAAATAAAAAATAGCATTGCGAAACGTTAAATACATTATTGCTGATTCAAAAAATTTGTGGGAAGCCAATTTGGACTATTTCCGTCTTCGTACGACTTTAATCTGCCGAGATATTAATTAAAAATTCTAAAAACACTAATTTGCGGAGTAATTATTCCGAAAGGCAACAGTCTCGTGCATTGGAGATAAATATGCTTTATTTCGAAAAGTGTTGCTACTGCTCGCTTTCAAATCGTAGAGTTTATTAATCAAAAATTTGTAAGTTTTATAAAATCTATATATATATAAAGAAGAATGTCTGTTTGTGTGTGTTTGTTCGCGTTACTCATTTCTGATCAATTACGATACTCTTCTCTCCACATTTAATCGACTAAAATTGAATATAGGTGAAATATTGATTGGAACTTGAGTGTTTTCTATCATTTGATTAGGAAGACGAAAATCATTAAAAACTGCGTGCCATTGTTGCTGATATAATGAGAGTAAATTAGTGTGCTCTTCTATCGAAATTTTTTACGTGGTTACCGTATCGCATCAGACTGAAAAATGTATGACTACGAATCGTATTTTTTGCATAGTTATTAGAGAAGAATCACAACGGTATCGTTCTTCCTGTTGTTAGATGCATTACCCTCAATCTAACTTTACTGGCATCGGGTACTTCCGCTAGTATGTACGTATATGTGGTATCCGTAAGTACAACACAGCAACCATCTCGCTGATGGCCTCACCCATGCGCCATCAGCGAGAGCGAGGTGAAAGAGGAGGATGGCATATAGGCAGACAGTCGTCTATCCCACGCGAAGGTGTTAACATGTCCACGAGAACGTGGTAAGACGTAGGTCTTACCGCGTGAAGTTATTAAATTTAGAACTGCATGTTTCCACGAGGAGGTCGTAACTTGACTACATATATGACAGCTAGTGCGAGTAGGCGCTAAGCTGCTATTTAAATTCTAAAAGTGATAAAGACGTATTTTTCTAACAGCAAGCGAACAAGTTTATCAATCTACGATTTGTAGCCGCACTAGTTTAAAATTAATTTATGACTAGTAACAGCATGAATTATAAACAAATAGCTAAGTTATTGCATTTTATTTTCCAGCTATCGAAATGCGACGCTACGAGCAACGTTTTGAAACCAAAACCTAGCAATCATGAATCAGAACTAGAACTAGTTGCCATTCAGCATAAAGAAATTTAAATATAAATATGAATACTTATTGCCATTCAGCATAAAAGAAATATAAATATGAATATTAACAAAATATTAAAGTTAATTTTATAAAATAATTAAACACATGAACAAATATATTAAATAAAAAATAATTATTTCTCATGCAATAACTGGGCCACTACACTACTCCCCCACCAGTAACTAAGTTACGTTACGAAGATGGAGAAATAGGTAGTAACTAGTATTGCAGTGTTAACCACTATCAAAATAATTTAGTCAGTCCTTGAATCTAACAGGTAAACGTATAGTTCTGCCTGTGCGAGAAGGTTTTTGATTCACATCCGAATTTGAGTCCGGTCTCTGCAAATTACTGTAGTCAGGTTGTATCAACTGAGAATTTTCCTCAGCTAAAATATATGCTGGTTTCAAGGCGATCCAGGGATACATTAACATGTTTTCCTTTTATGCTAATAGTAAAAATATTTGTCCTTGCGATCAATAACAGGAAATGGTCCTTCATAAGGAGGTTCCAAAGGTTTTTTTTATCCGATCTATTCGCTGAAACACATGAGAACAAGTTTTTAAGTCTTTATGGACAAATATCTGTTCAGATGAATTTTTACGAATTAGTCTCGGTCCAACAACTTCCATCTGTTTCTGGAGTTTATTAGCAAAAGTCTCCGATGCTGTCTGGATACTTGGTTCGCTGAAAAACTCGCCAGGAAGTCTGAGACTCTGGCCATAAACTACTTGCGCAATAGAATGATTGGTATCTTCTTGAATAGTGCTGTTGAATAGTTTACAAACCCAAAAGTACTGTTGGTAACGTGTCCGTCCAAGATATGTTGTTGTGGGCTTTTAATGCTGTTTTCAATGTTCGATGAAGGCGCTCAACATTGCCATTACACGAGGGGTGGTAGGCAGTAGTGTGTTGTAAATTGATGCCACAGATTTTGGACAAAGCTCGTAATGTATCACTTTTAAATTGGGATCCACGATCACTAATGAGTTTACTTGGCGTTCCGAAACGCGCAATCCAGTTGCTATAAAAGGCTTCTTGCGACGTTCTCAGCAGAAATATTTTCTAAAGGAATTGCTTCCATCCAATTCGAAAATCTATCTATGCAAGTAAGACAATAAATATTCCCTTTAGATGGTGGAAGTGGTCCTATGAGATCGATATGGATGACAGAAAATCTTCCTGGTGATACTTCAAACTCACCTAATTTTGTTTTGGTGTGCCGATTGATTTTAGCTTTTTGGCAATGAATGC